ATTGCATCATTGCGGTGATGTCAGACAGCGGAGAGCTGCTCTGTTGACTAAAGATAGGAAAGAGATTTGCGGATTGTGGATTCTCAGAGCAGAAACTGTGCAAAAGCCAAAGGCTTTAATCCAAATATTGCATCAGCTGTAATTTAGCAGAGAGCCTTCGGTCCACTTTTTGGCTGGCGTTCACTTAACCAGTTCAGTGCACAGCTTTGCGGATGCTTTCGTAACCATCTTCTATGCCTGCTTAGTTAGAATAGAATAGGAAAGAATAGAATAGGATAGGATAGAATAGAATAGAATAGAATAGAATAGTGGAATGAAGAATAGAATAGAATAGAATAGAATAGAATAGAATAGAATAGAATAGAATAGAATAGAATAGGAATAGGAATAGAATAGAATAGAATAGAATAGAATAGAATAGGAATAGGAATAGAATAGAATAGAATAGAATAGAATAGGAATAGGAATAGGAATAGAATAGAATAGAATAGAATAGAATAGAATAGAATAGGAATAGGAATAGGAATAGGAATAGGAATAGGAATAGAATAGAATAGAATAGAATAGCCATTTGTCAGAGATGGTGTAGTGTCTCCTTCTTGGGCAGGGGGTTGGACTAGATGACCTACAAGGTCCCTTCCAACTCTGTTAATCTGTAAGAACAGAACAAAACAAAACAGAAATACAATGGAAAATATGGGAATAGAATAGAATAGAACAGAACAGAATAGAGCCAGAAGGGACATTTGAGGTCTTCTAGTCCAGCCCCCTGCTCAAGCAGGAGAACCTATCCTATACTATTTGAGATAAGTCCAGCCTCTTCTTAAAAACTTCCGGTGATGGACTGCCCACAACATCTGGTGGCAAGCTGTTCCACTGGTTAATTATCTTCACTGTTAGGAAGTTTCTCCCTAATTCCAGGTTGCTTCTCTCCTTGATTAATTTCCATCCATTGTTTCTTGTCCTGCCTTCAGGTGCTTTGGAGAATAATTTGACCCCCCTCTTCTTTGGGTCAGCCCCTCAAATGCTGGTATAATGCTATCTTGTCGCTCCTAATTCTTCTTTTCTCTAAACTAGCCAAACCCAAATCCAGCAGCCGTTCTTCATATGTTTTTTGTCTTCTTAGTTGCTCTTCTCTGACCTTTTTCCAAAATCTCAACATCTTTTTTTTGCAGTACGGTGACCAACATTGGTTGCAGTACTCCAGGTGTGGCCTTACTAGGGTTTTATAAAGCGGAATTAATATTTAACTTGATCTAGATTCTATGCCTCTTTTTATACAACCCAGTTGTAGCCACCCATGGCTTGTTTTACAGCGTAGATGTTGGCCAACGCAACCCTTTGGCTAGCTTTCGATTCAGCGTAAGGCCTTAACATCCTAACAGACGATGAATGAAATATCACCGGCCAAATTAAACAAATTGACAGTGGTAGCAAAAAAGGGGGTAAAAATGGGGCAGCCTCACTTCACAGTTAACAACTGTCTCACTTAGTGACAGAACTTTTGGGCACAACTGTGTGTTTCATCACTTGGAAACCTGACACTGTGGTCCTAAGTCAAAGGACTACCTGCTACAAATGGATTTTCCCTGAGGGGTTTTTTTGGGGGGGGGATAACCCACATTCTTACCATTTTGCAGGGCCCGAAAGCGATGGGTCGATACGTCGAGATGCCGCCATTTAGAACCGCCCAGAAGAGTAACAGGTAAAATTTCATGGCTTCGAGAGAAAGGGAAGAAAGGAGCAGCGGTTAGAGATGGAACCGTTCATGGGAAACACTGGTGTAACAGTCGAGCTCGGGGGAACGTAAACAGCTGGCGCTGACAGTGGGAATTTCACCCGTCTTTGGCGGCGTCAGCAACATCCAGCTGCAGAGCTGTTGAAGGGTGAAACCAGATGTGGACGCTTCAGGATTTCAGGCAGGGGTGGGATGCAAATATTTTTACTACCAGTTCTATGGGTGTGTTTAGGTGGGAGTGGCTAGGTGGGCGTGGCCATGTGACTGGGTAGGCATGGCTTTTTTTTGCGCACACACACACACACACACACACCTCTGCGGTCCGTTTGTTTGCCTCCTGGGCCTCGGGTGAAGCCGTAAGACAGCGAGGGGAATCCCGGCACAGCTGATGATCGGAACAGCTGATCATTGGCCAAACAGGTAGCTGTTTTTTTTTACTATTGGTTCAGCCGAAGTGTAACATTTTTTTACTACCAGTTCGCTGAAACCGGGCTGAACCGGTAGAATACCACCACTGATTTCAGGGTTTTATTTGCTGTGTCATTTCCAGGGATTTGACCTCTATGTCCTGTCTCAGCCACTTTTTAAAAAACTAAAACAAAAATCAGAGTTCTTGGCAGATTTTTCCCCCCTAGTTTTGCCCACCTCTCTTTCTAGCAAAATGTACCTTGCGGTATTTCTCAAGCTGAGCCGATACTCAACTGGACTTCAACTCCCAGGAATCCCCAGCTGGCAAGATCTTAAAGCGGCCAAGGTGGAGAAACAGTGCCTTATGATCGGTTTCCTTGGGGCCTTTAAAAAGTTTTGCTAGCAACAACCGGTATGTGGAACCTTATCAGCTTGATTTTTTGGAAGATGCCTAGATAATTCTACTTGGGGGGTGGCCCAACTGAGGATTATGGGGCTGAGAGACCTACACATTTGAAAATCAGAAGGTAAGGAATAGTAGATTAGTTTTTCAACCTTAAGGAGGCAGGCGGGGTTAGGGTGAGGGTGGGAAGGAGGAGGAGGAGGAAGGAAGGAAGGAAAACAGAGAGGAAAGATAGTGAGAAGGGAAGGAAGGAAGGAAGGAAGGAAGGAAGGAAGGAAGGAAGGGAAGGAAAGGGGAAGGAAAGGGGAAGGAAAGGGGAAGGAAGGAAAAATGGAAGGGAGGGAGGGAGGAAGGAAGAAAAGAAGGAGGGGAGGGAGGGAGAAAAGGGGGGAGGGAAGAAAGAGAGGAAGAAAGAAGAAGGAAGGAAGGGAAGGGGAAGGAAGGAAAAATGGAAGGGAGGAAGGAAGAAAAGAAGGAAGGGAGGGAGGGAGAAAAGGGGGGAGGGAAGAAAGAGAGGAAGAAAGAAGAAAGGGAAGGAAAGGGGAAGGAAGGAAAAATGGAAGGGAGGGGGAGGAAGGGAGGAAGGAAGGACACATTGAAGGACAGAGAAAAGTGAGGGAAGGAAGGAGGGAGGGAGGGAGGAAGGAAGGAATCGAAAGGGGAAGAAAGGAAAAATGGAAGGGACAGAGGGAGGGACAGAAGAAAGGGAGGGAGGGAGGAAGAGAGGGAGGGGGAGGAGGAAGGAAGGAAGGAAGGAAGAAGAAAGAAGAAGGAAGGATGAAGAAAGGAAGGAAGGAAAACAGGGAGGGAGGGACAAAGGAAGGAAGAAATATGCTGACCACACTACAGCATATAGGACCATAGCTGTTGTATCCTGCAGATGTTATGGGGCAATCCAGCCGAGATGAGTCAGGCTGCCTGTTGACTTCTGGGTCTGCAGGAGGCCTCCCCACAAGACTCCCCACAAGGAGCCAAAGGGCAAAAGGCAAGAAAGCTTCCAGGCCTCTGGAAGAGAACGACCCTTCAATCATCCTGCAGGAAGACTGGGCAGGACAGGAGGGATTTTTCCGTGGTCGGTGTGGCCCAGCTGCAAAACCCCAAATTGTCAGCAAATAATTAGATCCAGGGCAGAAACTCAAAGTGGCTTGGTGGATGCAACATGCAAGAAGGATTGATAGAGGGCGGGTGTCAGCAACCCACGGCTCTAGAGCCACATGCGGCTCTTTGGGCCCTCTGCTGCAGCTTCCGGTCCCATCACTGGCCTGCCTCGCTCCTCGTCCTCCCCTCCCAGTCACTCCTTACCTGGCCTGAGAAGGTAAAGGCAACAGCGGGGGATGGAGAAGTTGTCTGGGCTGAAATTTCTGCTGCCTCACTTTTGCTGGAGCTTCTTCTGGCTGTGATGACCCAAAGGGGCGTCACACAAAGGCATCACAGTCAGATAAGCAAGAAGAGTCCCTGTATTAGCTCCAACTTTTCCCCCAATGTCCAGTTTACCTTCAGGCTGGAGAAAAACTCTCCCAGGAACAGCCTTTGGCTGCAGGGAATCAAGTCCAAAACAGGGTAAACACAAACTGTAACTTAAACTCCCAACAAGCCAAACTGAAGTAATTAGTTTGGCAGGGAAGGAGCAAGAATTTCAGACTTGAAAACATGACAAAACTCACATGGAAGACACAAGGAACACAGATAAGCCACAACAACATAAGTTGATGTCACATTTGCTCCCAGCAGCCTGCCGCACACAGCCTACCTTTCTTATCATCTTATCCCAACTGTGGCTAATGAAGGGAATCAGGGCCCATTCCTCCCCCATAAGCCAGGCAACCCACGTTGCTCCCTTCTCCGTTCCTCCCTGCGTGCCTTAGGATGAAGAGGGGGATGGGCCTGGGTCTTCCTCTGAACTCCCTCTCCCTTGTTCTACCTCTCCCCTGCTGTGCCCAGCTGGACTTTGCCCTTCCCCAGTTTCCTCCACAGCCAACGGAGCCACTCTCCTTCCTCCCTGTCAGCTGCTCGCCTCCTCCTCTGAATCGGACTCCAACGGGGGAATGACATTGGCCCTTGCTGATGCTGGCCATGCCTCAGTCGCTTGCGGAGATGCTCAACCTGCTCTCCACTCCAAGACACTGGTGTGACCTGGTCACAACCAAAGCCGGCCGTGGCTCCCGGTGGCTCTGGTGTTTTGTTTTCTGTGGGAAATGGGTCCAAATAGCTCTTTGAGTGTTTAAGGTTGCAGACCCCTGATGTAGGGAGTGGATTTAGTAGTAGCATTTGGCGGGAGGTTGGTTTAGTTTAACAGGACTTTTATTCCATTTATTTGAGGGCCGATCGGGTTGCACTTAGATGCCGATGAAAGAGAGAGGAATTATGTCCCCGCTTGGCACCTTCTAATTAAACCTGGTGAAAAAGCAGCTGGGTTGGACTCGGTTTTAGTTTTTCTTCATCAAAAGCGTGCCTTTTTTTTTTTTTTTGCAAGCTCTCCACTCTGACGTTGTTAAGTGAAAAAGAGCTTCTCCGTTCACTTTGCTTGCCAAAAGGTTGCAAAAGGGAACGGCATGAAAATACGCATGCTTGGCAACTGGCTCATACAAGTCATTAAATAAACTGTTGTAAATTGAGGACTGCCTGTATATTTAATTGATCAAGAAAAAAATAATTGTTCCAAGGGTCTTGACATGAAATAATCCAGATAACAGATAACAGATAATCAGAGTTGGAAGGGACCTTGTAGGGCATCTAGTCCAACCCCCTTCCCAAGTGAGAGACCCTACACCATTTCTAACAGATGACAGTCCAGTCTCTTCTTGAAATCCTCCAGGGATGAAGCTCCCACAAACTTCTGAAGGCAACTTCTGTTCCATGGGTTGATTGTTCTCACTATCAGAAAATTCCTCCTTATTTCCAGGTTGAATCTCTCCTTGTTCAATTTCCATCCATTATTCCTTGTCTGACCTTCAAAGGTGCTTTAGAAAATAGCTTGATCCCTTCCTCCTCTCTGTGGCAGCCCCTCAAATATTGGAAGACTGCTCTCCTGTCTCCCCTGGTCCTTCTCTTCCCTAGACTAGCCAGGCCCAGTTCCTGCAACCGTTCATCGTATGGTTTTAGCCTCCAGTCCCTTAATCATCCTGGTTGCTCTTCTCTGCACTCTTTCTAGAGCCTCAATATCTTTTTTTATAGTGTGATGACCAAAACTGGATGCAGTACTCTAGGCGTGGTCTTTCTAAGGCTTTATAGAATGGTACTAGTATCCCCCAATGAAGCTGGATGGGCAGAAAAAAGGAGGTAATGATGGGATGTTGGAAAATAAAACTGTGCAAAGCATCGAAGAGTTTGAATGCACACAAATGAATCCTTTATCACCAGTCTAGAGAAAAGGACTCAGAGTGACATGATAGCAGTATTTGAGGGGTTGCCAGAAAGAAGAAGGGGGGTCAAATTATTCTCCAAAGCACCAGAAGGCAGGACAAGAAGCAATGGATGGAAACTAAACCAAGGAGAGAAGCAACCTGGGATTAAGGAGAAACTACCTAACGGTGAGGGAAATTAACCAGTGGAACTGCTTGCCACCAGACGTTGTGGGCGCTCCATCCCTGGAGGTTTTTAAGAACAGACCAGATAGTCAATTGTCTGAAATGGTTCAGGGTCCCTCCTGCTTGAGCAGGGGGCTGGACTAGAAGACCTCACAGGGTCCCTTCCAGCTCTGTTCTGATTGTGATTGATTGATATTTATGACGGTTGCAAGTGTCCCTGGGATCCCCCTTTTTTGCAACCCTCTGACAAGCCACGTCAAGGGGGAAGCCAGATTCACTTAATGACTGTGTGACTATCTTAACAACGGCAGCAATTCACGTAGCGGCCATGGCCAGAAAAGTCATAAAATGGGGCCACTAAGCTTGCTTAACAACCACCTCACTGAGCAACGTCAATTTGGGGCTCCGTTGTGGTCGTAAGTCGAGGACCATATTTGTGATGGCTGTATATTCCTACCGTAGATTTAACCAGGTCCCACGTGGACAAAATGGCTGCATGACTGCAACGGGGTTAAGCAGATCGATTGCAAATCCAGCAGAGGCATTTACTGCTTGAGTTTGAACAATTTTAATCTTGGTTAGCCTGAAAATATGCGAGGGTGACTTAGCCAACCATAAACAGAGGAATGATGGAATCTGTCATCTGCACT